AAATAGGCTAGTTCATCAAACAAGGCAGCAGCATTCTCAGGAACAAGCGTTATTTTTCCTTCTCTTTGCAATTGCTCTTTTCCCATCTTTTATTCTCTTGCCATTCCTAGTGGCAGATTCATGCCAAGTTCAAAAATGATGTTAGCCTGCGTTTCTCATCCAGAGAACGGGTCTCTGCCGACTCCTCCTGATGAAATTGCTTCCTACACGAGGCTTACCAGAACTCTGTTGGACTCCTGGCTTTCATGCAAAGAATCATTTTTGCACTGGTAATTAATCTACCATTGCTTAAAAACTGGTTATTTCAGATTTTAATGAACATTAATGTTCCTGTGTGAAATGTTTACCTTTACTTTTCCAAGCTGGCTTATCTAATTTCATTTTTTTAATTTAATTTAATTTTTATTATGTCTGTTTTTATTCTGTACATACCTCACACATTGGAAGCTAGGGAGCAAGTTGGGATAGTCATTTCTCTTCTCTGTGTGGACCTTAGGCTTGGCAGCACCTTTACCTGCTGAGGCCTCGCACTGGCCATCATTTGCTTTTAAATTGTACCAGCAAACTTCTGTTGACAAACTCATTGAGTTGGGCCTTATCTTTTCTTTGGTGTGCTGGCTAATAAGCCAAGCCATTTCTTTGGTATACTAAGAAATAAACGTCTCCTTCAGTAATTGGCTGTGTGACTTCTGATGATCCTTCCTTCTCAGCAACCTCCTCCTCTCTCCCCCCTCCCCCCCCACCTCCCCACCACCTGCTCCTTTGTCTTCCTCATAAACAAAATGTTGGAGACCAATTTAGGAAAGAGGTCATGATTTGAAAGGCAGCTTTCTGGACAGTTCACCTAATTTAAAGGCCATTCCCAAGGTAGGAAATACTAATCAATAATGATCTCTTGCTGGCTCCCCAATGTGGACATTCCACAAAGACTTAATGCCAAGATTGATTTGCAAAAAGCCTGAAGAATTTGTTTTCTAAGAGCAAACCAATTATTCTGAGAATCCAATTAGTTCAAATGACAATTTCTATGATGTTAGAGGATCAATGTGTAAATAAAAGGATCAATACGGCAGCGTTCTCTGTTTTCAGAAGGACAAGGCACTGTGGCCTGCACACAGAAGCCAAGCACCTCTTTGGGCAGTTCGTCAACCTGGACAGATCTGATGTGTCTGTGAAACCCAGGCTTCTCACTGTGACTGTCCTCCCTTCATCTTTCTTGAAGTTTAGAGGATAGCCTTAGACCAGCTTGTAGGGTTGCACTAAAGAGAGGCATGAGGCCTTAACAACGTGGAATCTGGAGCCAGACTGCCTGGGTTCAAGTCTTGACTCCCCCACTTAGAATCCATTTGTCCTCAGGCAGCTGACTTAATCTCTCAGGGTTGTGTCTCCAAAATGACAAAGATAACTAAGCTCGTCTGGTGGGAACTGTGAGAACTGAGAGAGTTAAGACATCGAAACACTGTCAATTAGTTAGTAGGCCTCCCCCCAAGATAACAGCCCTGTTTGGTAAGAGTCAGGCTGTGTTCAAGTGTAACCCATGTTAGGTTGCTATGGCTTCTCTTTGCCCGACTTCTGAATTTCCGGAAACAGGGTCACAGGTGCTGAGTACCATCCCTTGCAGCTCACTGCCAGGTTCACCCAGGTCTGCTGTCTTCTCTCTGCATGCCAGGCACATTGTTGGTAGGGTTTCACTGAGTTCATTCATCCTGTGGAAACATCTGAGGAAATTGGGATTAAGGGAGTGGCCAACCTTTCAGGCTTTACCTCAAGATAAGAACATTGTAGTTTATCCCTTTTCAGCCCCCAGTCACTGAACCATCCAGAATCTCTGCAGGACTGGAATGCGCGTACCTTTCCTGTGATATTTATCCAAGGTTTTAAAAAGTATGTTGAAGCCATACTGTTTCAGGATGTAAAAAATTCCTTTTGTTTTCTCAGTAAACTCCCTGAAAGTCCTAAAACGTACAGACTTTTCACTGCACTCATTCCCCCCAGAGAAAGTTAAACTAATCTTCCCCCAAATAAGTCAATGGAGTTTAATGCATACTTGTCTACTAATTAAGGGGTCAGGGTATCAGTTGAAAGTTGAAAGAATTCCTTTTTCAACCTCATCATTGATTATATTCTATAGAAATGTAGTAAATACTTGATAGACTGTAAGATAATAAATGCAGCTTCCAGTTAAATGTGATAGCAAAATACCACAGTATAACTAAGGCACAAGGCTAAGAGGTGATAAAATACCACATGTATAACTAACTAGTCATTGTGCTTACCTCCGTATGGTTTGTTGAAGAGAATTAAATTTTAAATGAATAGAGAAACATAAGGAAAAATTCTAGCTAAAAGGAATTTCTGCTTCATTTGTTTTTCAGAGTGTGAGCCTGTCACTTTAAATGACTGTCAGCAGACAGACTATTCAGTCAGCACTCCCACTTTCATTCCTTCCTGACCAGAGGTCAGCATTTCACCTAGAGCCGGTTCTCGGGCTGCTAGCTTTCCATGACATAGGATACAAGAAAATTAAAACACCTAAACTGGAAGAGTCTAGAAATAAGAATTCAAGTCCAAGAAAAATGCAAATCAGTACTTTATATTTATTATATAGCATCTTTAATATGCTTAGTGTAGTGGGGGACATTGAATAAAAATATATACTTTCAAATGTCTGCCTTTCAATTAAAGCTTGCAGCCGAGAGAAAGAAGCAGAATGCAAAGTCTCAGGGGGAGAAGCTCTTCATCAAAGGGGAAGAGAAAAGGCAAGGACAGTGATTATAATATGGCATTTCTGGAAATAAGCAAAGAAGTTTCAAAACCTGATTTTTGTTCTGTTTCCAGAGCCTTTTGTATTCTCTGTCCTGAGACTCACTGGGCTTGTGTCTGTGAGATCATGGTAGATTAAAGGGAGTATGCGCGTGCTCAGTGCAGCCCACCCAGCTGCTTGCCTGAGGCAGAGGACAGCCACTGAAAGGCTGCTTCAGGGGGCAAGGCCAGTTTTTAAATTCATGGAAAAGACTTTTAAGTGTGATGTGGTTTCAAATCCTAAAATATACACATTTTTTTTAGCTGAGTAAATTATATTCCCCAATGAGAGCCCAGTCATAAAGGTTAGCATTTTTCTAGGAATTAAAAAAAATGGAACATGTAAATATAAATTTTATGGCAGCTAGGAATGTCTCTAGGCTTAGATAGTTTGAACTATTGTTTAGAGACTCCTGGCTTTTTAAGGTTCAATAGTCAAATTTTATTTAAAGGTTGTAGCATAAGCATACAATAGATACTTTCTAGAAGTCAGGCAAAGTGAGTCTCATAGCCAGTAGTACATTCCTAGCAAAGGTCCACAATCCCACAGTTCCCGGGCACCACCTTTTACAACATAATGAATGCCTTCTCACTTGGTTTTTCTTTTACAATTCTTAGTTACTCTTCTATTGCTGTGAAGAGACACCATGACCAAGGCAACTCTTACAAGAGAAAGCATTTAACTGAGGACTTGCTTACAATTTCAGAGGTGGTATCATGACAGAGAGCATGGCAGGCAGGCCTGGTGCTGGAGAAGTAGCTGAGAGCTACATCCTGATCACAGGCCAAGAGAGAGAATGCGTGTGAGGGTTGGGGGTGGGAACTGGACCAAAAATGGGCCCACCCCCAGTGACACACTTCCTCCAACAAGTCCACACCTCTTAATCCTTATAATCCTTTCAAACAGTTCCACTCCCTGGTGACCAGGCATTCAAATATATGAGCCTAGGGGCCATTCTTATACAAACCATCACAATAGTCTCAGGTCCTTCTCGTGTCTGTCATTGTCGTCACATTTGAATTGGTTACCCTACCTAGACTGCTGCAGGGAAAGATGTGTACATTGTATCCCAAGCTCTACACACATTTCTAACAGAAATAGTATTAGAAATGCTAGATAGATCATACCATACAATTGCCATAATTCAATATTTGAGGCATACTAATGTTAAATACTCTTTCAACGTTCATTTCTTCCCCAAAAAGCAAATGTTGACTTGACTCTGAGGAGCCCCCTTTGGCTGCTTTCCCATCTCAGCCTCTTAAAAGACCAGGCCCATGCCTAGCCCCTGTGCTTTCTCAACACACATTTGTTTCTTGTTCTGTGCCTTTTTCTCTTTCCCAGTTTGGTATTTGGCAAACCTTACACACTCAGTAGATTTTTGTTGAATGAAGAAATGGATTTGGCATTTCATCTGCCAACCATGAAACCACATTCTTAGAAGTGAGCAACTTCCTCCTACATATTTGAGTGTTACCAGCAGCAGCAGTAACTGGGAGTAGCCATTGTTGTTGAAATGATGATTATGGTGATGATGGTGGTAGAGATGGCATCAGTCATGAATCCCTGCATCTCGCCTGAACTGCATTCCATTCTCCCGCCTCTTAGAGTGTCTCTCCTCCCTTCACCTGCCCTTACCCACCACATTACATTTTCTTCCGTGATTACATTCGCTGGCTCACCTTTTCTCTTCAGCACCTCTAAATAGAATATAGTCTGCCTCTGAGTTCTACAGTATTGTCCCCTGTTTCTCTGTTAGCAGATTCATTAATTCCTACTACTCACATACCAACAACTGCAGAAGAATCACGACTTGAACCCCTGACCCTTGTGTCCTTTCAGACACTAAATGAATAGACAACTCTGCATGGCTGATCTCTTGGTACAGAGACACAATATACATCTTAAAAAGAAGTATGCCTGTATGTGTATTCCTACCTATTTGTGTATCTATGAGAGGAATTATGTTGGGACTCAATGGTCAAAATTCTTAAGAAGTAGCACCTGATCCAACTTTGGCCATCACCACCTTTGTGCCTGCCTCCTGGATCTGCTTCTGAGTGTAGACAACTGAGTTTGGAGAAAGTCTACCTTTTGGGTGCACTGGGACCAAGGGCGTGATTGGTATTTTGAAGAGAATGTGGGGGATATTTGCAGTATTTAGTCAAAGGACATAATCAGAGCTTTCTTTTCAAAGGTGACCAAGAAACTGTTTCGCACAAAGAAAACTGTCATTTAGCTGTTTGTTCTTCAGCTCCTTGAAGATGAACTTGCGGAAGTAAGACAGTATATTGGTCAACAGAGAAGAAAATAATAGCTTCGGAACAACATGAAAGCAGAAATACTGGGGAGATGTTTGCAGTTGACTGCCCTCTGCCAGCTCCTGTGTCTAGTGGCTGCCATTTCACCTGACCCAACCAGGCTCTGCACTCTCACTGGCACTGGTGTCTCTCTGAGAACGCAGCTAATATAGTCATGCTTTGGGCTTCCAGAGGAATTAGGCAGCCCATTTGCTCCTCCTCTACAATGGTCCCTTTGAACTTCATAACCCTTAACCATATTGCTCACATATGGAGTGGCCAAGAGTCTGAGACACATGGAGGCCAAACCAAATATGAAAGACTACCTTTGACTCAAGCAGCTGCTAAGCTGCAAGCCTTGCTTGAAGGATTGAGATGTGGTAGTAATTCCAGCCCACGTCCCCAGGAAAGCAGTCATGACACTGAATGACCACAGGCACAGTTAGCACCAGCAGCACAGGTGTGTGTGTCCCAGCACTGCTCTGAAGCTGTGATCTGCATTATCTCCAGCCTGTAGCTCACCATTCTGATCACAGTGGAAGCTTTTAGGAGGTATGGCATGCATAACCCCAACAAGACCTTTAGTATGGATAGCATCAGGGCAAACATTTGTGGCAGATCTTCAGGGTTCAGATCCAATTCCAATTAATGTTCTTATCACTGGCAGCCATGCCTGGGAAGATGTATCCACCACTAAGGTAGACTTTCCCCCAAACCAGCTGGCCATGCTCACTATAGATCCAGGCAGAGAGGTGGTTGAAGCCCAAGGCTGAAACAGGGTCTGCTACCCTGCCTCTGCATATGCCAGGACCCATTTGGTCTTCTCTCTAGTAAATGTGGAAGAAGGAAGGAAGGAAGGAAGGAAGGAAGGAAGGAAGGAAGGAAGGAAGGAAGGAAGGAAGGAAGGAAAAGAAGGAAGGAAAAGTAGTCACATGCTCACTCTACTCTATCAGGCCCAAGAAGCAGAGTACCCCTGTCTTCACATCGTCACAGCTGTGTACTAGACGCCTGGAGGAGGAACCGGCCATCAGGATGGGAGGATTTCTGTAAGAATGTGAACTCAAGTGTGGTTTATAAGCACAGCACTTCCTTTAAAGCCATTTTCTAGCCTCATACTTTCATTGGCTTTGAGGAGGGCATTGGGTTAGCACCCCTTCTAAATCATGGTTGGCCTGTTGGTAGAGCAATAAAGCAGTCTCTGAAGAGGGAAAATGAGATAAAAAGGAACTGTATGAAATAGCTTAATTTTGCTGTCACCTGAGTACATCTCTTAGGAGCCAGTCTGTAGCACAATTTGGTTTAGCTCCTAGAATAACTTCTAAATTGTTCTTTAGACAGTATAGGTTTTCCTAAAATAGCTATATTTAGATTTTCCTATGTTTTTGTTTCTAAAGTTAATATAATTTGCATCCTTTGCAGACTTGGACTTGCAGTTGCCTAAAATGAAAACAACAATTTCAGAAGACTATGTAATAATTCTAATTCTATTAGCAGGCTCTAGCTGTCTGCATACCTGGTACACCCTTGGCCACCACTCTCTGCTGGAAAGGCATGCTGCCTGCAGCTCTCATATCTTGCATTTCTGTAAAGCTATCCAAACACTCAGCTGTTGGACTCAGAAAGAAGAAACACAAAAAAAGTGAAAAGAATTGGTGCTCAAAGATTATAGTGTGGTTTGGGTGGTCAGAACTTTGTGTTTCCCATTGATTTTGTGCCTCGTGTCTGCTAATTAAAAATAAGAAAGGCATGTTTAATGATCCAGGCTTTTCCTCCCTGGCCCCACCTTAGCCAGTTCCTCCTGACAAAGGTGACTTGGGGCATTGCTTTCACTCAAGCTTCATTGTGGTTCTGTACCATGCGACGCGTAGCCATGTGCCCCATCCCGCCCTGGCTGTTGAGCGCCTCCCTCAGCACCCACCTACACAGGGGACAGACGTGCTCACATCTTCTCATCAAAAGCAAAAATTAGAGCAGGACCCAGACAGTTCCAGCCCAGCTCTCTTTCTAGTACTATTCTGGTCACTATTTACATTTGCTGGTGAGAAAGCAGAAGGCTTTTTTTGTTGCTCAAACCCCTTTTGAAGCCCACAGCACAGCAGAAATTACATGTTTGTCCGGGCTTTGCCAGTCAGATGGAAGAGGGCGGGCACGGCAATGGCGGTGCAGAGGTCCTGGTCCTGTTTGATGTTGTTCCTCTAACAATTTTAATATGCTATATTTCAAAAGTGCTTGGGACTCTTCCTGCCTGAGACATAAGCAATACTGGACAGCATTTCTCCAGGATGCTTTCCTGATCATAAATACAAAGTACTTCTGTCTCCTCCAAGACCTAAAAGAAATGGATGAGGGGGTACTTATTTTTATCTTACCCTTCTAACTTCTCTGTCATGTCCATGAATTATGACAGAATTGTCACAGTTGTCCAATGGAGGCAAGAAGCATTCATTTCCTAGCCCCTTTCCCTTCTTCTCAGTATCTCAGTGTTGCTCTGTTGAGTTCTGGGGGTGTCTGGTGCCTGTTCAGTGAGTGCAGAGTGGTGAGGAGCTCCTTCTCAGTGTCCCAACTCTCAGATGCTGGTGATGGGCGGCACTGTCCCGTTGAAGGAAGGGAGGTGGAAGGGGCCTGGGCACAGGGCACTCAGCAGACTCTGATGCCAATCGAATTGAGAAGGAGCATCTGTGGGTGTGGGGAAACCAGCAATGCCGCTTTCTCTTGTCTTGCTTCTACCCTTACCCTTTGTTGGGGGTTTTCAGTGCGCGCACTCTTCAGGTCAGGGGTCAGAGCAAGGCGCAGGTAACAGCAGCAGAGGTACATGAAGCCAGGGAACCTGTTCCTGATGGCGGGGCTGTGGATGGGCTCTTAGCTCTGTCACGCTGTCGCGCTTGGTTGCCATTTGTGCTGTTTCATGACCATAGCGGAAGCAGAAAGTGAGGGATGGCAATGCATGTTGAAAAATGTTCTAACTATACAATTGTTCTGACTCCAGTATTTGATGAAAACTGGGATGCACTTCCAACAGGCTTGAGAGTCTTCACTTTCCCGATACTATACAATGAGAATATAGTGACACACACTTAACAAAGGAAAAGGGCAATGTACAGGTACAAATATGGCCAACCACCTCTTCCTGCCCCATGGCCATCAAATAACGGTGCTTGCTGAGCTCCTGTGTGTGTTAACACCATGGTTTTCTGTGATAATCCCCCTGACAACTCGTGACATCATTACTGTGATTATTCCCTTACAAGCCAGCAAATGGATGTCCTTGAAACTTGAAGGAAATTGTCCAAAATCATATAAGTAACAGAGGTGAACAGTGATGAAAACTCGGCCAGTCAGACTAGAAAATATGGGCATGTAATCACCACAGTTCACATGGAAATGCCCCCTACCCCTCCCTGGCTTAAACAGCCTCTCTAGTCTGGGAAATACAGCTATCATGTGGCAGCTGAATTTAGTGCTGGACAGTTGGCAGGTCATTCTCTCCAACACCTCACTGACATGCATGCAGAAACAGGTTCATGGAGCTAAAATGGCCATACTCATTGCCAGTGAGAAAGCAGGTCTCCAGCTGCCCAGCCCACTCTTCTTCTCTCCAAGCCCTGCTGTTTCATCCATTGGTGGTTTTACAAGCAGTTGGCTACCGTTACATCACAGGAATCCATTTGAGACTTTTATTTTTCTTTTGTCTTGTTTTATGACTTGACTTGAATTAATTTTCAAACAGAATCCTTCCATTTTCCCTCTTCAGTGCAAGGCTGCTGCTTTGAAGAGGGCCCATGATGAGGAAGAGCAGCCAGATAACCTTCCTGGTTTAGAAAAGTACAGGGACACAGCGGAAGGTGGGGCCAGGATGCCAGCACAGCTTACATTGCAAAGGAATCTACACCTCACAGTGATCCGTGCAGCTCACGACAAGCCTTACCACCGCATGCTTGCATCCCTCCTGATCCCCAGTTGTTTTTCCGCACAAGCTTCTTTGGGCTTCCACTCTGGGCTTGTGATGGGAGTGTCTTCTGCTGCAGCACCACATGCACAGACAGGCGGGACCTGGAGAGGCTGGGGCTAGTGTTGTGCACCTAAGGCAAAAGAAGCCACAGAAATGAAACATTCATCGGCCCCCTCGCTTCCTTACTGCAGTGTCCAAGTATAAATGCTATCAACTCTACCTCACCTCATTCCAGTGAGCATTTCAGATGTAGAGATGCATCTGATGATTCTACAGAAGTCAAAGTAATTAGTGAGGAAATCAAGGTAAAACAAATGCGGGACAGTAATATGAAGGTTTAATAAATAAGAGAGGGTTTAATAAATAAGTCTGTCATAAAATCTAAAGAAGTTGCTGAGTAGGCCATGCCCACCACATCTGAGCTTCCCAGCAGCTGAAGACAAAAGGAAGGAAGTTTCAGCAGTCGGTGTCCTCATTAGAAACAAAGTCAAGGTCTTAGGAGACACAGGCCCCTCTGTGGCTCCCACTGCTCCCTTAGTCCTGCTCAGCGGAGGCAGCTCTTCTCTTGCCCCTTGGTGAAGACTCAGAAAAGTGCCTTGATTTTTCAGGTCACTCTAGTCCTACAGTCACTTTAAATTGCACACAGTCTGAATCCATTTAGATCATTCTCAGAAATGTGAATGGTTCCTGAAGTATTCCAGAGTAGCATTCTGCAGCTTGTTATCTGGGTACTTCTCTCCAAGGCCAGCACCAAGGCTTCCCAGCTGGGATTCAGGTACCTAGGTCACAGAAGGTTTTTTTCCAATATGGAGAGCTGAGAGGGGTTTTGCTTGTAGGACTTGCTGGGAGCGTGCACTCACATTTCAGTGTGCCAGCAGGTGCCTGAGAGCCTCTGGTTCTGAAAAGATGCACTGAGTAACAGCTGTCATCCATGCTTGGGAGCTTGAAACCCTCTGCAGGTAGAGAAGAACTATTGTCATCTCAGAAAAGCCAGGCTGGGATTGTGTTTAGGGAAGACATTTAACAACCGTGTGTAAGAGAGCTTGGAAAGCAAAAGGAGGTGAGTGGGGAAAACTTAAAGATGCAGCAGGTTTTCTCAGCAGTGTTCTTACAAATATCAGCATCAAGCTACTCAAGGATGTGAGGGGTGCGGCTCAGTGGAGGGTACATTACCTAGGATGGGTAGACTTCAGCTGTGTCAACACTAGATGTGGAGTGGGGTGGGGGTTGTCTCAAGGCTGTTTCTTATAACCTTCTCCATGGAGGCTGATGAGATGCATCCAAGCATAGACTTATACCTAGGATTCTGTCTATGAATACAATTTTGAATATTTAAGAATTGTTGTAATATCAATCTTGCAAATATTTATGAACACTTTGTTCATTAATCATGAGACACGTTTACCACAGAAGATGGAGTAGTTCACTGTCTAGCAAGACCCTGAAGTTCATATATCCCATCTCCCAGTCACAGGGAGAGTGCTATGGTGTTTGGCCTTCATCTGCAGAAGGGTGAGGAGAATGACGAGACTGTCATCCAGCAGGCAAAGAGCAGCTGACAAAGAGAACTGCTGCAATTTTCTGGAGTCTGGGAAGGCAGGATGAAGACAAATACTGAGGACTAGTCCCAGAGAGAATAAAATGCATCCTCGTCACTGCCCACCCCCCCACCCCCACCCCCGGCCAAGGCTCAGGGATCATCATAGAAGAGAGGCTGGAAGGATTGTAAAAGCCAGAGGTCAAGAAAGACCAGAGGAAAACAGTGTCTTGTGGACACGGCAGAACCGCTGCCCTTGGGAACTCACAGAAGCTGTGATTGCTCGTATAAGACCTGCACAAGATCATGTAGCCAACATCTCACTGAGGATCAGGGAGGGGCTCCTGAGCCTCCAGCCCTAGCTAAGGAGCTCCTGACAACTGTGGCTGCTGGGGAGGGAAAGTCGGTTTTCTTTAAGGGAGTGGACCCTGCTGGGTCAACCATAGTCCAGTGGATGGCACCACACCCATGACTATATGGGCAGCAAAACACGAACTCAATGGATGATTCTTTTTAAGAGTTAGGAGAGGGGGACTGGGTCTGGGAGAGGTGAGGGGACTAATGGAGGGTGACTATATTGTGAAATTCTTGAAGAATTAAAAATATTGCATTTAAAAATACAACT